CTGCCGTGGAACTGTCTGCCGAGAGAAGGGACCCGGCCTCTGTGGACACGTGCGGGGAGGGCCCTGCAGAGCCCGGGAGGGTGGCCGTTCTGACAAAGGCCAAGGCCGCCGCACCCGGCCACAGCGTGCATATCTGGTGGGCGGCTCCCGGAGTGGGCGAGGCCGCGAGCCCGCGCACGGCAGAGGCCTCAGGAAGCTCTCAGGGAAACGTGTGGGCGGGTCGAGGGAGGGCGTCATCTCCCGCGGGGCTGGCTTGGACTCTCTCCCTGGCCGCGCTGTGTCCAGCCTTCTAACTGGGCCGGCGGCCAGCAGGGACCTGGCCTGTCCTTGGGGCCTCGCGGCTCTTCTTGGAGAAGGACGGCTTCTGTGGCTGCCCGAGGCCGCCCACACCGCGCTCCACCTCTGACCCCCGCCCTCCCCGGTCAGCTACTGTGTTTGTTCAGCCCGGTCCCTCCAGGACGCTGGAGCCGGGGCGCGCCCCTGCCCTCACCGACTCTCTCCTCGTCCCCGTGACGGAGCCCACCGGGCCGGCTGCCCCCAGACCCCTCCGGCTCCCGCAGGGCTCGGCACAGGCCCCCCCCGCACGCAGGACACACTCGTTCCTCTCTGGCTGCAAGCCAGTGCAAGGGGCCGTTCGCATATGATCAGTTTCTTGCCTCTTTTTTTATTTTCTCTCCATCCCCAAATCGATTTCCATGACACTTGGGTAGAGAAAAGTACTTACTTTACGGAATGTGTTTACCATGGAGGCCCACACAGAACCTTCTAGAAAGAAGGTAGAGCCGAGAAGGTGAGAAGTCAAGGTGGTGAGCATGTGCCTGGCCTGCTCTGGGGGGGGGGAAGGGGCGCGTGGGGTGTGCGAAGCCGCCAGGAGTCTCTGGTCCTGAGGGCGGCAGGCCGAGGCCGGGGTGCCAGGGGCCCTGGACTGGAAGGAGGGGGCGAGAGCTGCCCCTCACCTGCGCCTGCAGCCCAGCCCGGCGGAGGCCATTTGCCTGAAACAAAAGACACTAAAGGAAAATGAAAAAAAAAGTTCTGCATGGAGCTGAGCTCGCAGAGAAGGCGGGAGAGGCTCTGATTGGAGGTGGGCCCGAGGCGAAGGCCTCACCCCCGGGGCCTCGGGCCTGTGTGCGTGGGGGCAGCCGGCGCAGGAGGGGACCCAGCCGGGTCACCGCCCGTCTCAGATGCCGTAGAGGGTCTCAGCGGTGAATGGAATTTCTCAGCACATTTCTCAGTGGCCCCGGCGTTTCCTTCCGAGAACCATAGGCGCTCAGAGCGGTTGAAGCTGAAAGGCAGCCACGCGGTCCCGGGTTGTCCACCCAAGCGCCTGGGTCTTCGCTGGAAACACAGACACTCGGACCTGCAGCGGCTCACCTGAGTGTTGTCAGAAAGGCGCACGGAACTTCCCCTGCAGGCCCAGCAGCCTGCTGAGGGGTGGCGCCCGGGGTGTAATTATCCCAAGAGCGTTACCAGCCAGGGACAGAGAGTAAAGCTTCCCGAGATAAACACACACACACCACGGCGGCCACGCTGTCGGTTACTCACGCCCACCTTGCACGCCTCTGTCCCGTCGCCGTGTCTGGCTCACGAGCGCCAGGACCCGGGCACGCTCTCCCGGGCTGGTTGGTAATGGGCTCTGGTGGGCACGCCCCCACCCCCTTCCTGCGGCCCCGCCCCAGCGCTGAAGCACATTAAAGTAATAAAATCAGGCAGCAAGGCGTCCTCATCACTCCCACTGTGTTCCCGGAATCCCTCATTTGCAGCAGATGAGACAGAAAAAAAAACTCAGAGCAGTGGAAGATGAGGCAACACAGGATACGTAAATGTGGCATTACTGGCCGTCCCGGCAGCTGGCTGAATCCTCCAGAACGTGTACCAGCCTCAGTCCACTGGCCGTGCTGCAGGGCAGCAATTTCGTTTCAAGGCCGAGTGTCGGGGTGGGGGGCGGGGAGGGGGAGACCTGCGCCGCGGCAGCCTCCATCACTGTCTTCTGAGCTGTGGGCGCTGTGGCCCTGAGCACTGCTGTCCCGCTCCCGGCCACAGGCTTGGTCCCCGCTGCAGTTCTGGAGGGAGCCTCTTAAGAAGCCCAGGTTTTTAGTGAGTCAGGTGACAAAGGCCGTTTTTACGTTCTAAAGCATGTGTTGCTCCTGCCCTCTTTATTTGTCCCGAAGACGTGGCTGCCGGGATGCAGGGCAGGGCAGGAGCAAGTCCAGGGGAGGACTCTGGCGTGAGTTCGAGGCTGTTGCAGAGACGGGAAGGGGAGGAAGCGGCTTATGGCCGGCAGGCCCTGCCTGGCCCGGACTCAGAGCCCGTCCTCACGCAGCTGCACGCAGACCCCAGGCAGGGCTGGTGGGGGCCTGCCCCGGTAGGGTGCATTGTGTCAGGATCCCTGAGGGTAAGGGGCGCAGGGGGACGGGGAAGAGGAAACCAGAGTCCGGCTCTCTCAGACCTCCCCGGGCTCTGTGCACCCACTAGAAAAAGAAGAGGCTTGGAAGCCGCGGAACAAGTCAGGGCTGGCCCAAGTATGTGCCTTTGTGTCCCTGCGCCTGTCTCCCCCGCCCCGCTTCTTGGCCAGACTCTGCCCCAGCCTGCAGCAGGCCGGGAAGCGGCCTGGTTAGGAGGGATCCCAAGCCCCAAGCCGCCGGGACCTTTCTAGACTCGGCTCTGCTGTGCTGCCCACTCCGGCACAGGGTGCGCAGGCGGGGTGGGGCTCCCCGGGGGGGGGGCACGGCCTCAGGGCCCAGGTGCAGGACTACTGTCCACCTCCCCGCCCCTCGGGCTTCCAGCAGCTGCACAGCCTCCAGCTGGACTGGGTGGGGGGCTGCTCAGCCCCTCCCCTCGGCCAGGTGGGCTGGAGGCAGCAACCGTCGGAGGCAGGAAGGGAGAGCCCGAGGGGCTGGAAGGGCATGAAGCAAGCGCCCGGAGCCTGGGGGACTCTGACTCAGTCGTCCGGGTGCACTGGTGCCCCTTCGTGTGTCTAAAGCCCGCCTGTCCCATGCATGGGCCCTGGCATCACATCGCCTTGGGGGGGGGGGGGCTTATTAAGAATTCAGATTCCTGGGCCCCACGCCAGACCTACCAGATCCAAACGTTTGTATTTATATTCTTTTGAATTAATATTTTAACTTTTTTTCCTCTTCTTTAAGTGCAACATGCACCCAAATGCCCAAACCTTAAGACTTGGTGAATATACCTGTGTGGCCACCACCCAGATCAAGATATGGGACGTGTCTGCCACCAGAAAGGGCCCCCTCCCGGCCCTCCCAGAACCACGCACCTGTGCTGCCTGGGCACCTGCGGCTCTGACCTCCATCAAACACGGAGACGGCTGCCTGTATTTGAACTTCACCTGCACTGGGCTGTGCAGGATCCTTCGGAGTCTGGTTTCTTTCTCTGTGGCAGGAGATGCATCCGCACCGCTGCTTGTGTAACAGCCACTGCGTGTCCACCGTGGGGCCAGGGCCTGCGGGATGCCCACCCTGCGGCTGAGTGGTTCCTTCTCCTCTCCATGGTGCCTGGGTGGTCTCCAGGGTTTGGCTACCATACCAGCGCTGCTAAGGATGTTCAGACGTTTGTCTTGGGTGCCCGCACGCGCTGCTTTCTGCTGGCGGTGGAATCGCTCCGCCACTGGGCGAACGCATGCGCGGCTTTTGGAGGCGAACGCACACAGTTCTCCGAACTCGTTGTGCCCGTCCCCAGTCCCACCAGCGATGAAGGAAGATGCGGGTGCTCCGGGGGCTCGTCCACACGTGGTGGGGTCAGGGGTTTGCGTGGGGGGTGGGCAGCGGGACTCTCCGGGGTTCCGTCCGCACGGCCCGCTGGCTCACGGTGGTGAGACCTGTCCACGGGCGTTCCGGCCACTTGGGTCCCGCCTTCCGTGCAGAGGCCGGCCACGTCGCTTTAACACCGGGCTGTGGGCGTCTCACCCTCTTGACTCGCAGGGCGTCCTTCTGGTCGCTTAGAAAGCGACCCCAAGCGGCAGGTCGCTGTCCGCCTGGTGTCCTTCTGTCCCTCAGGTCCTTCAAAGAGTGCTCTTCTCTCAGTTTATTTTTTATTTTAACGGCATGGGCATAAGGGGGCTTCCCGGCTCCAACACGGCTGTTTGCGTTGCTGAAGTCTGGCGGTGGGAGGGGCATGTCCTGGCCACCTCCTCGCCCTTCCCGCAGCGTTTCTTTCGGCCCCGCGACCTGTCAGAGCTGTGTGGCGTGAGCGCCACGGAAGAGAAAAGCGAGTTTTGGAACTGCCTTTGCCAGCCTCCACTCCACCATGTGGCTTCCCGAGTCCCCCGCGCGTCTCCAGCCCCTGCCGGGGGTCCTCGGCTGGTGCGCATGCGCATCCGGTGTGCTCCGTGCCTGCGCCCAGGGACGCATGCGTGGGTCTGGCCTGCTTTGTTGTCAGACGGGAAGCGTTTCATAAACTTCCACCCTGGACCACAACTGTGTAATGGTCCCAAGTGCAATCGCTCCCCATCTCCCTGCACCCCGCGAGTCAGAGGAGGGGACGTGAAAGCCGTAGAGCGCCCGGGGGGCTCAGAGTGCATATTATCCCGCGGTCCCCCTTCCTAGCGGCGCACGGCCCGGACTCGGAGGGGTGCTGAGTCGCCGGCAGCGTCCGCTGGTCCGGCTTTAAGCGCGGTTATCCTGGAATGACAGGCGTGTGGCTTCTGCAGACGATCGAGAGCTGGAGGGTGACGGGCCGAGGTGTCTTTCCCCTTCGCCTTTGATGACCCAGGGAATTGCCTCTTCCCATTGTTTCCCTCTGCGACCTGCGGCTCAGAGAGGCCCTGGGCAGCAGGACGTGGTCCGGGAAGAGTGCCCGTGTCCTCTCCCCGCTCTCTCCACCCTGCCTGGGCACAGAGGCGGAGGGGAGGGGCCGCAGAGGGACGTTTACAGCACCGTGACCACGAACAGAAACGTGCGGCCGTCTCCGGTGTGTGCCCGGCAGCGTCTGGCGTCGGTGAGGGCGAGACCAGCGCCCATCAGGTGTTCTCTCTCCGCCTGCAGGCCGGCTACGACGGCGAGAGCATCGGAAACTGCCCGTTCTCCCAGCGCCTCTTCATGATTCTCTGGCTGAAGGGCGTTATATTTAATGTAACAACAGTGGACCTGAAACGGTGAGACCAGGTTTCTGCATTGTCGAAATAACTACTTAGTTACACACGTGTGCACACTCGCACACACCAAGACACATGGCGTTCTCACGGGCACGTCCACCCCCTGTCGGTACCCTGCACTGTCGCCAGCGTGGGCTGAGCAGTCGTTACAAGAGTGGTCCAGCGTGATCAGGAAGGGGTGGGCGAGGGGGGTGCCTGAAGGAACCTGCCCTCCCACTTACTGGTCAGCCCTGAACTCCTCCAAAGCCTGTCCGAACCCCACCCCGGCTGGTAGCTCTGGGGAGAGTGAACCTTTTCACCCCCAGGTCCCGAGACGGGGCCACACCGTCAGTGCTGGCAAGACGTTCCGAAAAGGCACAGCGTCCCTTGGCGCTCTCAAGGGTTGCTTCTCTTCAACGGGGAGGGCACGGCTAAGCCTTGGGGATCAAGAGTCGAAACCCTGGCGGCTGCCGACACCGCTGCCCCTCCCCCGCCCCAGGAAACCCGCGGACCTGCAGAACCTGGCTCCCGGGACCAACCCTCCTTTCGTGACTTTCGACGGGGAGGTGAAGATGGATGTGAACAAGATCGAGGAGTTCCTGGAAGAGAAATTGGCTCCCCCGAGGTAGGCCTCACAGCCCCTCACCGACGGTTCTGAAGCTCTTGGCTGGTGTGTGTTGGGTTTTGTCGCCACGGCAGGCTCTGCCTAACCGTGCCCGTGTGCCATGGAAAACACGGGGCGAGATTAGAAGCCTCGAGGGAAGGCGGCCCTGATCTCTTTGCTCTGAACCTGCAGTGAGGAAGTGGGGGGAGAGGTGGGTGGATGCCTCGAGGGTGGGCCACGTCTTAGGCTCTTGGCTGGAAGGGAAGGAGTGCCTGTTGGCATGCCACGTCGTGGCCCGGGACGGAACCTCCAGTCCACCGCCCTCCTTGTAGTGGGGAGGGAACTCAGGCCGGGGAGGCCGGGGGAGCCTTGTGCTCGGGACGAGAGCAGTCTAGGCCTTTCCCCCTCAGCGGTGTGGCTGCGACCTTGACGATAAAAAAAAAAAGGTTAGGAAGGAAAACATTCGAGGGGAAGTCATTTTGTACCCACGCAGCAAAGACCTGTCCCCCCACCTTGTGTTATCCCAACTCAAACATCACTCATCTGTGACCGTCCGATTTTGAACCTTTCAAGGTACCCCAAGCTGGCGACCCAGCACCCCGAATCTAACTCTGCAGGAAACGACGTGTTTGCCAAATTCTCAGCGTTTATCAAAAACACCAAGAAGGACGCCAATGAGAGTGAGCTCCTGCCCCCTCCCCGGGTTCTGTTTCCCGCGGCCCTCCCCTCGGCCTCAGGGGCGGTGTCGCAGGAGATGCCGGGCATCCTGCCTCGTCCCGTGAGGAGGAGAGGGGGGAGGGACCTGCGTGTAGAAATAAGGAGAAAGTGCCTCCAGCTTCAAACCTGCACATCGGTGTCAAGACACCAAGTGTCCTTTCTAGGGGTCGGGAGTCTGGAAAACAACATTTTTTTAAAGATTTTATTTATTTATTTTTTAGAGAGGGAAGGGAGGGAGAAAGAGAGAGAGAGAGAAACATCCATGTGTGGTTGCTGGGGGCCATGGCCTGCAACCCAGGCATGTACCCTGACTGGGAATCGAACCTGCGATGCTTTGGTTCGCAGCCCGCTCTCAATCCACTGAGCTACGCCAGCCAGGGCGAAAACAACATTTTTTACAGTAACGGAATCATCACTGGGTGTTCCCAGCTGCATGATGAGAACCGTTTAAATGCCGCTGCTGCTGGCCCTGCTCCGTGGTGGCGTTTCCCTGAAGGGCTTTGGAGGAACGAGTGGGTTCTAGAAACTGCAGGGTCGTGTGCACCGCAGAGCTGTGTCCAGGGAGGGGTGAGGCCAGGTCCTCCTCCCTCCCTCGTGTCGAGAGAAAGGTGGCGCTCGCTCACGGGGCCCCTCCCCGTCCTCCTTCGCCTTCCTGTTCCAGTTCACGAGAAGAACCTGCTGAAGGCCCTGAAGAAGCTGGACAACTACCTGAACAGCCCCCTGCCCGACGAGGTGGACGCCGGCATTGCGGAGGAGGTGGCGGTGTCGGGGCGCAAGTTCCTGGACGGGGACGAGCTCACGCTGGCGGACTGCAACCTCCTGCCCAAGCTGCACGTCATTAAGGTGTGGCGCTCCTCCCGCCGCGCGGGCGGGCTCTGTTTCATTCTGCTTTGACGTGGGTTTGGGCCGGACAGCAAAAACCCTCTGAGACGTGACACGTCGGGCCTGTTTCTGTGTGAGGCAGCCCCCCCCCCCCCGCCACCCCAGGTTTCATCACATGACTGGTCTCCGGCGGACTTCTGAGGTCCTCCCGGGCACCTGGCTCCCGGCCCGCCATCCTCACCGCACTCCCCCAGGTTTTGTCCCCCACAGCCGGGAGAAACGCGCCGTGACAGCCCTTGAGGGTCACACCGGCATCCGGTGCCCAAGGTGTGGACGTGAGCAGTGGGGTTGGCGAGGGTTACCATGGGCACGAGGCGGGCGGCTGGCCGCGGTCAGGGCAGACCGAGCCCTGCCGGGTGGCGTCCCCCCCACCAGCCGGGAGCAGAGGCGGCTCTTCGGCTGGGCCCCCCCCGCCGGGTCTGGCATCCTGTCTTCCCAGAGGGTTGCACATGAGAGGCAAGTCAGGGGCCGTACGTCGTGGGGGGCTTAAAGACTCCTTTGAGTGGTGTGCCTTTAGCAGGAGAAGGCATAAGAGTTGTTTGGGGAGCTTTCTGGAAATGCGAATCGCTCGATCCAGCCCCCGGCCCACCTCCTCGGAGCCTCTGGGAGTGAGCCTGAGACTCTGTGGCAGATGGCACCACTCTGGAGTCCTTAGGTATGGCTGCCACTCGGGGTGCCCGGCCTCTCGGCCACTTACAGCTGTTGCTACTGTTATCATCTCTAGTGCCCTACCTGCCCTTGGCCCTGGGCAGCCTCAGATGCGCCAGGAAGAAGCCTGAGTCTCGTGCTGGGGCATCTTTATTATTCACACCCCGCCCGGTCCAGAGCTTGGTCCTAGGTGTAGGAGGGCGGGGAGAGAGGCTACAGGGGCATACGAGACGAGGACCCTGCGTTCTAACACACACTCGATGGGCAGCTTGGAAATCTGCAACGTGTGTTCGCACAGCCTGGGGCCCCGAGGCTGCTGTGGGCCGCCGGCCACCACCCCGGTCACTCCACGTCGCCCCCGCCTTTCTCTCCCCGCGTGGCTTCTTCCTGCCCACCCGTGCCCGCCCCGTCTGTGTGTTCTTTTCTCCCCTCGCCTCCCTGTGGGGCCCGGAGCTGCCGATGTGAAATTCTAGCCCCAAAGACATTGCTGGTCCTGCAAGTGAATGTTTTGAAAAGAACATTATAAGTAGCTTTATAATATTATAATAACAATATAAATAACGTCGCCAGTGTTTTGACGTCTAGAATTGAATGACGGCACATGAACCCCTTAAACCGGCTGCACCGGTGATGGTTGGATTGGGACATTTGGGAGCCACGTTGCGATGAGGGATCTGCATAGTCGTGTTCTGGGTGAGTCTCTCTGACGAATGTGCTCTGGTCACGACAGCCGTTCCACTTGTTCAGCCCCCATACAAAAATTCCACATTGCAGTGTAAATAAAGTTTGTTACTCTGAGTAGAGTGACACAGGGCTGCCCATAGCTCCAATCTGAGACCCAGTAGCAAAATCTTCAAAGCCATTTAGCACTCAGAATGCCGACCAGCTTAATCATCTTCCAGGAGGGAGCATTTCTGAGAGGAAATGAGAATCCATCTGAAGGAATTTATGGGAAAAGATGAGAGGGAAGAGGAATTTGTAATTTATTCGCCTTCCTGAAACCCAGCAAAAACAGTATGACGAAAGAGAGTGTGGCTTCACCTGTTATAAAGCCAAACAGAAACAGATCACCAACTCAAAGACTCAGCCACGTCATCCGGTGCCACGGAGGCCAGGCACGCTTGTCTGGATCGGCAGCGAGGTTCCGCTCGCTCTCACAGTCGGCCACATGGCCCGGGAAGGCCAGCCCGGGCTTGTCCGTCTGAGGACCAGGGCTCGGAGTGGCCGCGGGAGAAGCGGAGGACATCCCCGCAGAGGGCATGCGCGGCAAAGGTCCCTGGGGAGGCTCAGCGGAAGGAGGAGAAACACGATGGTGCCATCTTTGCTTTCTGTCACTGTCCCCTCAGCCAAAGGAACAGGGAGGGGACGTGGCATTCTGCTTTGTGGCTGCGGAGCAGAGAAGAGAGACAAGCCTCGAACCACTCAAGAGAGACGGTCAGGGACCCGAGCTTCGTTTTTAGCTACGGGGACCTCCTGCCTCATCTGCAGGCCTCAGAGTGGGGGGTGCCTAACCCAAACCCTGCCCCTGCCCCTGCCCCTGCCGTGTCCCTGGGCAGAGTGTCGAGCAGTGTTCGGTGAGACTGTCGGAGGATAAATACCGAAACTGGTCACCAGCTGCGCCACCTCACTCCCTTGGCCCTACTGTCCCCCCTCACCCGAGGACATGATTCCATTGCTTGTAGAGAGAGGGGGAGGGAGTCAAAAACAGCGATGCAGGATCAGAGCATGGATTGGTTGCTTCCTGCACTGGCTGGACGGGGACGTGTGTGCTGGGACTGAGCGTCAACCCGCAACCCAGGCACGTGCCCGACCGGGAATTGAGTCCGCAACCCCTCAGTTACGGGTCAACGTTCCAACCAACTGAGCCCCACCAGCCAGGGCCCTTGGCCCTATTTTTAAGCAAACAGTAGGTGCAATAAGCAGAAAGAATCCAACAGGACCCCTCTGTGGGTGGACGTGATCAGAAGCGGGAGAAGGACGAAGAGAACGGAACCAGAGGGCAAGGCAGACGGGGAGCTCGCATCTGATGCAGCATCGCGCCGGTGCCTTAAAGAACACTCAGGACGGATACTTCCCCACGGCCCCGAGAAATGAGAGTGCATGGGTCTTTCGAGGAAAAAACTCAAAGACGCAACACAGGATGCCAAAAAGTATATATAACACCACAAAGAAGATGGAAACCAGGCTGGCGGAGTTCGAGAAGAAAACTCGAAGACGAATAAAATGACTGCAGACATAAAAGTTGCATCAGAAGGAATGAGACACAGAAAAACACATTGTGGGAACGAGTCCGGGCGCGGGGGACGGGGCTGGAGGAAGCCACCCCGACTCAAACGGAAGAGGACCAGCAGGCGAGCGTGCCCGCGGTCGGGCACAAGAGAACAGGGGAAGGAGAAGGGAAAGGAGGAGGCTCAAAGGGACAGTCATTGTGAGTGAAAGGACACGCTGACCTCCAGTGCAAACACTCCCCACAGTTAGAGAGCCAGAGCCCCAGAAAATCGACATGCGGTGATGTCTTTGGTAAATTACTGAAATCTGAGGAGGAGAAAAGAGCTATTTTGGCATCTGGACAACAACAACAACAACAGTGATGATGATGATGATGATGATGATGATGATGATGATGAATTAAATAAGGAACAAAGCCACCTACGCAGGGAAGAAGCTCAGACTGGCCTCATATGTCTCCATGACCACATTTAAAAACAATAACAACAACAGAAAAGTGGCTCAATGTTACCGAGAGTTAAGGGGAAGGCACTGTGATGTAAGCATTTTATAGCTAGGTAAATTGTTTTTATCTAGACTCCCGATCTCCATAAAAGAAGTACTCCAGAGCCCATTGAAAAGATGGAATTGCTCTATGATGAAATAATAAAATCATAATCGAAATAAGCATCTGAACGCAGAGACGTGTGATGGAGAAGGACTGCGGGGAAACACAACCCTGGTTACATCGAACACCGGCACTGAGACCGAACCGCGGCGGGAATTACAGAACAGGACACAGCAAATGGGGCCGTCGTGACAGACACACCTGGACGGGAGCGTGTACAGGGCAGGGAACGGCGGGAGGCGGGGTTCTACCAACTCCCTCATGGGTCATGCGCAGGAGCGAAGAGACACCATCTGACACTGACAAATGGAGAAATAGCAAATTCCTGCTATTTCGGGTCACGCAGGAAACAACTGGGGAAGTTAACACAGGCCAGAGACCTTCCGAGTCATCAGGAGGGAAACACACGCAAAGATACGCAGATAGGTGAAAAGCAAAGGATTACATTCCGAAAATATAATACGAAAGCAAGTTTCCACCTGTAAGAGTCATACGCATTATAGATTTACTCAGAGGTGGGGAAAAAAAAAAAGGTGGCAAAGCTAACCAGGCAAACGCAAGCGGAAGGAGAGCAGAGTTCCTAACATTACTATCAGTAGGGCTGACTTCGAGTGGAAGATGTCAAACAGAGGAGGCGGCTTTGTCAAGGTCACAGGGTCCCGTTCCGGTGCCACACTGCGCGGGTGGCCGCCGGCCTCCCAAACCAGGGAAATGTCCCGTCTGTGCTCACGTCCCACGTCGCTCCGGGCAGCCCAGAACCGGTGGGCTAGGAGGCAGCAAAGGGGGCTGGTGTGGGTCGCCCTGGGTCCTGTTGGGGTGTGAACTGCGTCGCCCCAAAATTCACATGCCGCAGTCCTGACGCCCAGGACTCAGAATGGGACCTCACTGGGAAATGGGTCCTCGCAGACGTGATCCGTGACGGTCACTTTGAGGTCACGTTGGAGCAGGTGGCCCCGGTGTGACACGACTACAGAAGGGTAAATCTGGGCTCAGAGACGCAAACGCAGCGAAAACACCCTGTGAAGAAAGCGCCACGGGGAGACGGGGGTCACGCCATCACGAGACAAGGAGCTACCAGCAGCCCGGAGAGCGGTCAGAAACCGAGTCCCGCAGCGGGCCCTCACCTTGACCTTGGACTTCCGTCCACTGGGACTGTGAGAGGACACGTTTCTGCTGCCTCGGCCACCCAGTTCCTGCTCTCGGCTAAGGCGGGCCTGGGGAAATGGTGAGGGTCCCCAGCAGTGTGCACCCCCCTTTGTAGCTCGTTCCCCAGCGGCCCCCGTCCGGCCCGAGGAAACACACCACACTGTTGCGTCGCCTGTGACCTTTACCCCCCGTTTCCCCCGGGGGCAAGCACTTGTGTCCTGGCTCTGTCCCGTGCACACGGCAGACCACAGGGAGACGACCCGCTGGGGGGCAGGACGGCGGAACACAGGTGCGGGGATCTCCCGAGAGAGGCGTGGGCCTCACCGCGGTCTGAGCCCCAGCGAGACTGAAGCCCCACCCAGCGTCTTCCGGCACCCGGGCACCCAGCAGCACGACACGCAGGAAACTGCCACACACGCCAGGGGAGCCCCACCAGCTGGCGCCCTGGGCACAGTCGGGCCGCGGCCCACCAGGCCCGTCCGTGGGAAACGAATGGGTGGGCAGCAGGCTTGGAGCCACCGCTTCGAGCCTGGTCCCTTTGTCACTGTCCCCACCCCCCCGTATGTCCTATGCCGAGTCCAAGGGCAACTCGGGGCAGCCCAGGGCCTGTGGGATGACATCAGGACCCGGCCCTGAGAATGCACCACACACCTCGACGTGTGGCTTGTTCCGTGGAGCTGGGCGGTTTTCCCTTCCCTGACGGTTTCCTCTTCACTTGCAGATCGTGGCCAAGAGGTACAGAGATTTCGAGTTTCCCTCCGAAATGACCGGCCTCTGGAGGTACTTGAACAACGCCTACGCCAGGGACGAGTTCACCAACACGTGCCCGGCGGACCGGGAGATCGAACGCGCCTACTCGGACGTGGCCAAGAGAATGAAGTGACGCCGCCGAGGGGCTCGGTCGGACCCCTCCGCTGCGTGCGGGCCGGGCCACGCACGCAAAGAGCGTTCTTCCTGTTTCCCCGCGACACCCGTGCTCGGCGAAAGGACGCCCGCGCTTCAACAACGCCTCCCCACAGGGGGACCCACTCCGCGCCGCGTGCCCGGGGCCCGCGAGCTGGCAGCTCACTGGGGCATCCGAGCCGCGCCAGCCGGGGCGCCCGCCCACGCCCACCGTCCAGCTCGTCCTCGCTGACGTTGCATCTAGGGCGCGTGCTCTGCAGTTTTAAGTTTCCGAGCAGGTTAGGTTAGGGACCGCCCCCTCCTCTGATTGGACGGCAGTGGTCTGTCCCCCATAGTTCCGTAGTCGCGGTTAGCTCGCTTTTCTCCTCTGGAACGGCACTTGCACTTTTTTCAGAATGAAAACACGGTTTTTGTAATCACAGAGTAATGTGCACCCCTGTTAACAGTTTAAACCCATGTCAGAGAGTATCGAGATGGAAGAAGAAAAATCGCCTGAAATCTCACCACTGTTCGTAACTGCTGCTGACGTCCTGGTGAACCCTTCCAAACCCGAGGGTCTCACTCCTCCTCCCTCACACGGCTTGGTTCCCAGGCAGCATTGCTCTACTATTCTTCTTTAAGATTTTATTTATTTGCTTTTAGAGAGGGGGAGAGAGGGAGAGAGAGAGGGAGAGGTAAACATCAATGTGTGCCCCTTGTGCGCCCACTGCTGGGAACCTGGCCCACAACCCCGGCATGTGCCCTGACTGGGAATCGAACTGGTGACCCTTTGGTTTGCAGGCCTGCATTCAGTCCCCTGAGCCACACCAGCCAGGGGCTGCTGTGCTTGGTATTAAAGGACTGGGGAGGGGACCTCCTGGCGAGGCCCGGATGGCCATCTGCAGGGGACCTGGAGCAAGCCGACAGGTGGGGGCTGCAGAGCTGCAGAGGAGGCTTGCGACTGGTTTCTTGGGGGTGGAGAACTGTGGGGCCCACAGACCGGCAGGGACCAGAAGCCGTGGGTGGTCCTCACGCTGCCCGGTCACCACCTCGGCACTGTCCCTGGCGCTGGGGGTGGGGGACGGCGGAGGAGAGCCTGCCCTCGTCTTCCCTTCCAGTCTCCTGCCCGGGGCTTTCTCTGCTCCCGCCCGTCTCGTGGAGGAGACACCCCCGGAGAGCTGCCGGGCTCCTCTGCCATTGGCACACCTCACAGACGCCCCCTTCTCCGGGCACGGCGAGGGGTCCACACCAACACGCTCGTTGAAACCAAGGCCACGTCAGCTCCAGTGGCGATTCGTGTGAACGACAGCAAAACACACTCACGTAACTGCTGCGTGATTCAGCGAAAACGTGGGAGAGCGGGAGGAAGTCCTGGCACCCTCCACGTCTCACCCCCCAACACCGCCCCGTCGGCGTAGGGGTCAGCCTTTGAGGACGCGTGTGGGGACCTGGCGTGTAGACTCGGGACGTGGGTTGGCGACCGCTTGTAACTAGTGTTCACTCTGTAGTTTTAGACGCGAAAGATGATCTACCTACACTCCATGTGCCTTAAAAATGAAATAAATTATAAAAATGTTTACATGGAACCAAAGTATGTATATATTTATTTTTTTACTTTGCATTCTCCAGTTAGAGTTCAAGAAGCAAGGTGAACGGAAAAGGGCTTTCTTTAGCATGGGCAGAGCGGCTTCGAGCCGGACACCAGTGGCCTTTGAGTTAGACACGACCTGCCCTTGAACCCTGACCCGCAAAGCCGTCCGACCGGGCCGTGAGGACCGGTGGCCGCACCTGGCCCGGTAGGGGGGCTCTCGTGGGGGCCCAGCAGGCTCTTCTGGCTCCAAAAAACGTTTTAGAGTAGAGCTGGTGGGCAGTGTTACGGTAGCCTCGGGTGTACGGTGTCGGGCTGCGACATCCACGCACCTCACAGTGTGACCACTGGGAAACGTCTGGTGACCCCCCGTCACCGTGCAAACATATGGCGGCGTTCCCGACCCCCCTGCGGACTCCAGGTTTACACGCAGTTGCAGGGAAGCGGGTGGTTCCCGGCAGGCCCCTCCCGGCAGGCCCCTCCCGGCGGGCCGCCCCCGCCGCCCGCCCCAGCGCGGGTCTGTGAGCAGGTGGGGTGGAGATAACTGCCCCCCCCGCCCCCGGGCTGTCTGTCTGGCTGGCAGAAGGTCTTCAAAGCCGCACTGTGGGCTTTGAAACAAGATGCCCTGGTTCTTCACAACACACCGTACAACATACAAAGAAACAAACACAGAAGACACCATGCAGAATGCGAACATGGACGCCCAGGGTGGGAATCCCTCCATCCGGGCCGGGAGAGGGTTCTCTGCGGGCAGGAGACCCCCTCCTCACTGCTGCCCGAGAGGCCTGACAGTTAGAAAACCAGCTTTCCTCCTCCGCACACAGTCAGTCCGCACACGTGGGCGGGGGCAGAGGCCAGCGGTGTCGGCACAGGTAGACTCTCGGGGCCCTGCCCCGAGGGCACACGGGGATGGGCGGTGGAACTCACCCCCGGGAGGGGCTTCCGGAGACCAGAGGTGTCCACGGGTGACCTCTGGGCTATGGGGTCCGCCCCCAGGAGTGGACCCTGTGCCCAAGCGCTTGGCCCCCAGCCAGACGGGCAGACGCACGTATATACGCACAGATGCACGCACACACTCACACACAGGACGCTGTCCCAGGCACACTCGCACAGACACAAATACACATGTGCACATTCACACAGCAGCACACACATCGGCACACTCACACCCACGCACACTCTCACACTCACACTCACACTGCAGGGTGGGGCCGGGGCTCCCGCTCACCCGCCTCCGTGCAGAGGCCAGAAACATACTCTTACCCACGGCCCGCCCACACCTCTTCACCGTGCCCGGGCCCATCCTTGGGCTTTGGAAGAATTTTAAAAAATAGCTTTAAAAAACCCAGAAACCCCCTTTCTTTTATTTAAGAGAACCAAGGCACGCATCACCCCAAGAACAGAACCCATGAAACCCTGGGCACAGGAAAGGGATACATCGAGGGAGTGTTTGCTCCCATTATAAACTGACCTCTCTGTCCAGACTTAATTCTGAGTTCCTCTCCGTGGCCGGTTTCCTGGCAGACGGTCGACTTCCGGTTTAGTACGTTACTGCATTTCAGGGCGTGACCCCGCATGTGGCCAGACACACGTGGGCGGGTGACCCCGTCACCCAGAGGGACGGCGGGACTCCCCGGGGCCTCTGCAGGTTCCAGGGGGTGAGGGGGACCCTGCTGCCTGTCTGTGAGCTCGGGGTCCTCTCGGGGGCGGCTCTCTGCCATCGCAGCCTGCGCCCCGACAGCGTCACTGTCCCCACAGCGGAGCGTCCCTGCGGAGTCTCTGAACAGCCGTGCCTCCCAGAGGGCCATTCAGTCAGGGAGAGCCCGGAGCCGCCACTTTCGGGTCGGGCACGGTCCACAGGAAACTGTGTTCCCAGCGGCGAGCTGCAGACGTGGTCGGGGGTGGGGGGGGCATCCATCAGGGAGCCGGGCAGGGGCTTGGGCCACCGGGGGCTCGAATTCGACCCCTGTTCCCGTCTCCTCTCTGGGAGGCTACCGTCCCTACTGTCCTCCCCACGTCCTCCTGCCGCACACCCATGGGTGCATCCGCTGTCCTGCCGACCCTCCTGCAGGGAGGCCGCTTTGCTTGACCACACCCCGCGCCCTGGCTCCACCCCCTCTCGGGGACCGGCTTCCCTCCTGTACTGCTGGGCGAGTGGGCAAGGACAGCGGCCAGCAGTGACTGGCCTGGGGTCACCTCAGGCCACCTGCCCGACCGGGCTTCAAGCCCTGCAAGGCCGTCTGACACTGTGACCCCGAGTCAGGCCCCTGTCGGCGGCACCCCCGACTGCTGCATGTGTCACCAACACCTGCCGGAGCCCCCGGAGGCCGCTGCACCGCTGGGGCCCCACTGGGGTGCAGCAGCACCAGCCCCAGGAGCGGGGGAGCAGCCCTCCTTGCTCAGAAGGCCTCGGTTTTGTACAAGGGGGCTGTTCAAAGGGCAGCAGCCTTCCTGATGCGCTTTTCCGGCATTCGGTGTCCCCTGGGTTAAACAGGTCACTGGCTCCTCCCTAGAAGCGACTCTGAGGCAGAATCCAAGTTAAAAAAAAAATAAGAAGCCAAAAATCCAAGCAACAGCAGATGGTGGGTCTTAAACCGGCCGCTGGCACCTCCAAGGGGCCTGACGGTCCCTGGGTCTCTCTGAGCCTCGCTCTTCCCACCCGGAGAGTGGGGAGCGTAGCTCGGGGCACCCGGAACGCTGCTCTCGGCGGAGGTTTCCCGGGGTTTGTCTCCCTGTAGGAGGCAGGTAAGACGGACAGGGCCCGGGACTGCAGGTCAAGAGGACCCCGGACCTTCTCACGCCCGCAGGAAGCCACCGTGCCCTGAACGGCTGAGGCACGCCCCTCCCCCTGGGGGCGCTGGCCACTGACTGCCCCGCGGTCAGTCCCCGGGCGCTGTCCGGCGCTGGGCCAGCAGTCTGCCAGACGCCTGTGAACCGAGTTTCGGTCTTTGCCTGCTGCCTCTGGCCGGGAGGCTGCGGGAAGGGCCGCTAGCCGCCCTGGGGCTCAGTTTCCTCGCCGGCCAAAGGCAGGGTTGGGTGACATAATCTTCTGTGCCATTTCCAGTCCTTCAGTTACAGACCCTGAGTCAGCCAGACGGCTCCGGGCTCTCAGGCACCGGCGCAGGGCGGGGGGCATCACTCCCCCACAACAGCCCTGACCTCTGCCCCGCGATTCCATGTTCAGACCCGTCCGCCACCTGCTCTGGGGTTTTGGGGTGGATGTGCTCCTTTCTGGTGAAGTCACTCCCCAGAGGTAGGGTATCTCTGCAGTCGGCGACCAAGTTGGCAACCTCTCCTCACCTGGGCACAGGCGGCAGAGGCAGAACTAATCGCCGGCCGTGGGTCTCGGGAGCTGCCCCTTCTCAGAACACGTGCCACGAGACCGACCAGACCTTCGAGAGCCCAAACGGCCAGGTGCAGAGGCCTTAGGAGCCTCTCCCAGCTCCCCCCAGCCCCACTCCCTCTCAGTGTGCCGCATCCTGCTCCCCCTGCATCCCCCCGCCCATGCAGAGTGAGTCCTGACCTTGACCACTCACCTTGACGAGAAAAGGCAGGTGCAGAAAACCCGGGGACAGAGGGCACCTTTTCTCTCTGCACTTCCTGGGCGGACACCTCAGGGTCCTCTGCTGCCTCACCAATTGCCACCAACTGAGCAGCTCACCTCAACATGCATGTGCTGCCGCCTCTGGGGCGGGGCCAGGGATCCGGCCCGAGCTGGTCCTCTGCTCGGGGTCTCGGGGGCTGAAGGCAAGGTGTCACCCAGGGCTGTGATTCTGGGCGCAGGCGGGGGGGCCCACTTCCAAGTTCATTGGTTAGTGGCAGAATTCAGCTTCTCACAATGGCGGGACTTCTAGCGACCCCCCACCGTTCCCGGCCACGGGGCCTCCTCCCCGACGTGGCAGTTGGCGTCGCCAAGGCCAACAGAAGCGTGTCCCCGCTGCTCCCAGGCTCTCCGACCTCCTCCACCCGCGGCCTCCAGGCCCTCTTTCAAGGGGCTCATGGGACTGTTAAGTCAGGCCCACCAGGGCCCTCTCCTTTTGGGTCCAAGTCGCTGGAGGAAGTTTGGCCCGCACAGGGCCATGTCCTTAATCACAGTCAGCTGATGGAGGACTTGAATGACGCGTGCTGAACCCCTCACCTAATCACGGGGTGATGCTCCATCGTACTTCCAGCCCCCGACCCCCGCACCCCACAACAGTGGGTGGGTGGATGCCACAGGGCTGCCCACTGGGGGCTGGGGACCCTGGGGGCACCTCAGAGCTCCGCCCCGGGGGAGTCTGAGGATCCGTTACAGACATTCCCAAGGAAGGCCTCCCCGCCGCGCCCAACCCGTGGGCCACGGTCGGCTGGGACGGCACCGCCAAACCCCTCGGGAGGCCCCGAGCCTCCCCGCAGCGCGAGGCGTCCGTCCGTGGCACAGGTTCCCGGCCGGCTTCCCCAAGACGCCCTAGTCCTCACCCCTCGGCTCGGACGCCCGCGGGGCGAGCAGGCCCGGCGTTTCCGTGAAGCCCGTGGACGTGGTTCCCAGGCCCCCGAGACAAAGCGGGAGTCTGTTGACTCCGAGTCCTGGCACTGAACGCGTCTGTTTGCTCGGGCCCTGGCCCGGGGCGGGGAGAGGGTGGGGCAGAGAGCGGGATTCTTCTGCGGCAGGTCAATGCAGCGCTTTGTTGTGGCTCCGCTGCACCTCGCACAGGTGGCCAGGTGGCCAGGTGGCCAGGTGGCCAGGTGGCCCGGGAGCAGGTAGGCAGTCTGCCCTCCCCCGGCCTCCCCTCCCTTCAGCCCAAAGGCAGCTGTAAAGATGAAGAATAACTTTTTAAAAAGGCTATGGCTTCTCCTGTCTTCAAGAAACCTACTTTGAGAAAGAAACAAGTGGTCTCAGAGAAGTCCCGTGGAGTTTGAAAAAACAAAAGGTGCCAATTCTTCCCGGTGCTCTTTGAGTTTCCTTCTGTGTCATTGGCCAATGCCTGTGGGAAGGCTGCGCTTTTTTCCGTCCTCACCCAAGGAGACGTTCGTGGAGTTGAGAGCGAGCGAGAGCTCGGGACAGTGAGAGGGACAGGGACACTGATGCGGGAGACGAACATCGGTCGGTTGGTGGCCTCCCTCTGCGCCCCGGCCGGGGACCGACCCCACAGCCGGGGCAGGCGCCCTGAGCTGCCATCCAACCGGCGCCCACCCCGCTGAGACACGTACGTGGTCAGGGCGGCGGCTGCGCACTCTGACGCAGGTTCTGTTTTGTCTTTTGGGGACAGTCCTGGTTTGTCCATCCACGCGGGGCCGTCTCCCAAGCGACGCAGGTTGTGGGGGATGTGGATTTGCTTCGTGTCGCCCGTGTCGTAAGACCCTGGGGAGTCAGGGGCCCGGGGACTTCGAGCCGCGGGAGCGTGAGAGCTGTCCGCACAGCACCGCTGCGTGGGGCAGCGGAGGGGAGATGCCACCCCGGGCTCGTGTGCCCACGGGACCAAGCATGGCCCCACGCTCAGTGGCCGGTCACCAGAGAGACGTCCGTCGTGTGGCCGGGGAGGGTGGCCCTCTGGCCTCAGGCTTCTTATCGCCGAGAGCGGAGCTTGGCCTGGGAAATCCCCACTGCTCTGACTTGACGTAACCTCGGTGGGCCCGTCCTGTCGCCTGAGCTGACGCGACTTTCCAACTCTCACGAGGGGGCCGCCGCCACACGCCTCACGAACATCTCACCCCGGGGAGCGGGAATGACCGACTCTCCAGCTGGGGCTGGTTCTCCTCCGTCCCGGGCCAGCTCCTCCTGAGAGGGGTTCAAGGACACGATGTTGCTATTTCAAACAAATTAAACTAAAATTTAAAGAGTTTTTTAGTGACTTTCATTCTTGCGTTTCTATGTCCTCTGAACACAATGATTTTTTTGTTGAGGAAGACACACACAGGCAGGGCCTGCCGGCTCCGCCCGCAGCAGCGCCCGCACCCCGGACGCCGCCGGGTGAGGCCCCAGCAGCTCCCCGGTGAGAAGCGAGTGTGTGGCTTCAGCCACGGCGCGTCTGCACAGGCAACGTGGCTGCTCTCCGGATGCATGAGCAAGAGTTCCGGGCTTCCCTGAGCAGGTGACCCCCCTGCGGGCAGGGTCGTGCTCCCCCATCCTCAGCCCCGGGCCCCAGACCCGCCCTCCAGGGGAAGAAGGGGGGTCGGACTGGGCTCCGTAAAGCACTGCGGAGAGGAAGGGTCCGGGCGGTGGAGCGGCTGCGGTGGAGGAGGCGGAGGTCTCCCCTGGGAAGGGGGGGTGGTGCTCGACAAAAGGAAGCACCTCACTGCTCAGTGACACCTGGGGAGGCCCCCACGGGCGGCCGGAGGGGATTAGGTCATCCGTCCAAGTGCCGGAGGTCAGTGACCTGGCTCTCCCGTGAAAAGGCTTCTACCTGGTTTTTCCGAGGAGGCCATAGAACATTTCCACCTGTAAAGACGGGGCGGGGGGCTTTTCGAATGCAGCCGCGCTCACAGGTGTGGGTTTGGGAGGCCGCCACCTCAGCCGCACGGGGCAGGACCTGCAGCCCCCGGAGTGCGACCGCCAAAACCCTGCGGGGTCTGCCAGGGGGTTGGGGCCCGGAGCGCGGGATGCCTTCCCAGCGTACTCCGAGGAGGGGAGCCCGTGCTGGCTCTCTCAGACCCTGAGCCAGGACCACGGAGGCAGCATGGGTTTAAAACCCCGAGCCCGGGGAGTGCATGGTTAGCGCCTGGAGCTTGTTTTTGCAGAACTGAGCACCACCAGAAAAAAGGCGGTTCCCAGCTCACCATCCTGAGGCCTCAGGCTGCTGCCGGCCTTGGGTTTGAGTGGGAGGCAAGACCGCACTCTCTCGGACCCCAGAGCCACACCTTGGCGGGGGGCAGGGAAGTGGGTGGGAACTGAGCAGGGTTTGGAATGGGTGGAAGCAGCAAGTTGACTCAACACTGGATGTTTAATCAAGGGATCTTAGCAAGAACAGTGCGTCCTTTGTCAGGCAGAAAATGCAAGTGCAAATCAGAAGCCCACAGAGAGGTAACTCAACGTGGCCAATGGGGTGCTTCCAGGGGCGTGGTCGCCCTGGCTGCTGTGACCCCACAGAGGTGAGCTCCAGCGGGGTCCCTGAGGGGCTCCTCCACGTGGTCTTTGGTTGCCCCAGGAGACAAGGCAGGAAACTTGGGGTTAATTCAGACAATTAGTGATCACAAGCCCGGCATTTAATGTTTCCGATGCCCTTTGACGAGAGTAGAAGAGGCCCAGCCCTGTGACCTCAGAAGTGACTCGGTTTACCTGGGTGAGGACCGCAAGGGCGGCCCGCCTGGCACTGGGCCCACCCAACCAGGGAGCCGTTTCCTGAAGACGGGGCGCACGCCCGGCTCCCCCTTCCCAGTCGGCATGGTGTCCGTCCGTCCGCGGCTGCTGTCCACCGGCCCCACTCCCTCCTCCCTCGGCTGGGACTGCCCATAACCGCGCCAGGGCCGGGGCCGTGTGGCCTTGGGCACCGCGTCGCTTACCTTTGCGGAACCTCGGTGGCTCCTCCGTAGAAGGCTCGTCCTCCCTAGCTCCGGGAACAGGCATGAGAAAGCACGGGAGTGCGTGAAAACGGGAGCCGCTAGGTAAAAGCCGAGACCACCGCGGTTTCCTCCTGGGCGTCGGGCGGTGCGTCCCGGTCGTTGGGCAGAGCCGCCTCGTGGTCGGGGGGCTGGGCAGGGAGCCCAGCTCTTCACTGGTCTGAGGGCCTTGAACCGGCTCCGTCTTCTCCCCAGTGCCAGTAAGAAGGGCCACGCTTGTCTATTCCAGAAACTGGAAGGGACACCATTTTGACTTTGTCTAAGAAACCACGTGCAGGGCAGCTACGGCGCTACAAAATCGTTCTTACGGCTGACTGCCCTGCCCTTTGTCCCTGGAAAAGCTCCTCAAGGAGCCTGCGACCCAGGATCCCGGGAGGAGGAGGCCTCGAGGGGCAGGCCGCTTTGGAGCCCGGCCAGGCCGGAGCACCTGCAGCCTGGTCCCCTTCCTCTCGCCAGGGAGGCCTTGCCGGACGCAGACCATCTTCCCGCCATCCTGCCCACCGCCGGTCCCTTCCCGTCACCGAGACCGGGAGCCCCCGGGAGCCACGGCCACGGATCCCTGGAGAAGCCGATCACGACGAAGCAGCGCGATGACGCAAGACAACGCTTGGAAAACTTCAAGGGGCAGCGCCAATTTCTGTCGACAGTTATCTGGTTAACCACGAACTTTCCAAATTACTTCAATTAAAACACAACCATTTTGAAATAAGTATAGTTGGCATAGGGCATTATATTCGTCTCGGGAGCACAACATGGTGGTGACTCAACGTTTACACGCCTTCCAGTGCGATCGCTCCGACCAAGTCCGGTCCCCACCCGTCACTGGGCAAACTTGTGACAAAGTTATTGGCCACATTCCCTGCTCCGGCCACTGCCTTCCCTCGGCTTTATTTACCTTAGAACGGCCAGGGTGTACCCCTCACCCCCTTCACCCTCCCACCCATCCCCCACCTGCTCCCCTCTGGCCACCGTCGGATACAGTCTGTCCTCTGTATCCACGAGCCTGCGTCTGTTTCTGTTTTGTTTGTTCCGCTTTTTTTAGATGGCACTTATACATGAAATCACACAGTATTTGCCTTTCTCTGTGAGACGTATTTCACTTAGCAGCATACCCCCAGGTCCATCCGTGTTGTTACAGGTGGTAGGAAGTTTTCGGGCAGCCGAGTGATGTGTAAGAGGAAGTGGCGAGGACTGGGAGGCAGCCGCCCACCGCCGACGGGGCAGGGCGAGAGCCGGGCTGGGCGGGTGGGAGACTGAATGCCTGCCTGCAGGCGAGGCCCCCAAAGGGGCCGGCCTCAACAACTGAGGGGCGGTGGGGGGTGGGGAGGCTGCAGGGTCCTCTGCCGGGAGGTCGGCTCCAAACCCTCTATGGTAAGGAGAGCAAGACAAACTGTTTTCAGACTCCTCTGCCGCACAAGCCCCCGGCAGCCTGGCGTGAGTCCGATGGTTGGTTGGGCAATAGCTGTGCTCAGGGGCACGCTCCTGGGGGCCAACCTGTTATTTTTAGGGCAGAGCTCTGGGCTGATTCTGAACCTGGAAGAGGGTCCGTCAACAGCAGGGCACACTGAACACTGAGTCGGGAAGGGAAGGGAAGCCACGCCCCTCCAGTCCTCCCTCTGTGCCTGAGGGGAGCAGCAGGTGGACTGGCCTGTTTTCGGCTGCATTTCCAGGTTGCAACAGCACGGCGTCTCTGAGCCGTTCCTAGAGCCCGGATCGCCCTGTGCACCTGGACGCCGCATCGCTGCGTGAGCATCAAAGTCCTGTTTGTAATGAGGTGCCTGGGGATTGTCCAAGGAAAACTAGCTCGGTATCCAGCTCCAGAGGATTTCATCAGAAGACGTTGTTATCGGGCATGGCAGACAGTAGGGAACTTATTACAGTTACCGCGAAGGTTGCTTTTGAAAACACCACCGGCTAACCTTGACTTGGGACCGGCTCAGGCGCGGCGCTGCTATTTTCAAGTCAATATTTGGTCTCCTCCTCACCGCCGTCCTGCACACTAAGCGCTGT